GAATTTGCTGAAGAAAGCTTGGCCATTTGCTGGCTAGAAGCGCTTTGGTGAGTCCGTCCGCAAGCATCTTGCTGGAGGGGACATGGACAACCTTGATTGTTTGTCGAGAGACTTCCTGTCAGAGCCAGTGGTTATGGATGTTGACATGTCGGAGCTTGGTTTAAAGTCAAGATATCTCTTTGTTTACCAGTTAGATTGTCTGCTTGTTGTTGCACTAGATTATAATAGTTAAATTAGGCAGCTTAACTTACAGTTTGTTAAAAAGCATTCTTGTAAACATAGCTTCCTTAGCAACTTAGGATAGTGCAAGTAATTCTGCTTTTGTTGTTAATATTGTAACTATATCTTATTTATTTACTTACTATGCAATTTATCTGCTAAATAGTTAAATAACATAGCCTTAAAAGCTTTTTCTATTTAGTGTATTATCTACAAATAACGCATTGCTTGCTACTATAAGGTAGTCTTCTCCTCCTAATTAGAGTGCGTACGTCTGTGTCGCATGTAGGTACAGGATGACTTAATTAGCTGCATCCTAATAGTTAGATGCGGGATTTGTGAGAAACTATGCAAGGCGTAATGTAGTAAAGGCAATGTCTAGTCTTGTAGTAACTGCTGCAAAAAGCAGAGATCTAATCTTCTGCTAATATTAATTTACTTTTAATAGAGTTGTAAAACTAGATTACAGCATAAGTTTAATCCTACTTATAGGTGTAGCGTGCTGCAGGTCCTTTCTATTAGCTAGCTTAGCTATTTATTAATATATAAGGCTTATAATAGCTAAATTATTTATTACTATTAATCTTTAATAATCTTAACTTCTAAGAACTATTATAGGTTCTTGCCTCTTATTAGAGTATACTTCTCTTGTAACTAGTCTACTACACGCTGTGCATCTGCTTTAGAGCCTTTCCTGTACGCAACAATAAGGTTGTCTACATAGAAGAAGACAAATATTCTAGCTTTAGTTATGTAGTAGAGTTTATGTAGAACAGCTAAAAACCTAAGGCCTTTAAAAGTTATTATAAAATAGTGTTGCTAAAGTAGAGAAAAAATTTATAGGCTATATAGTGCTTTTTAAAGCTTTAGTATTATACCTAGTTTCTAATAGCCTCTTAGCATCTGCATGTAGATATTGCAGTTAATTGCTGCATGTATAAACATGTTAGTTATATTATATTATTTAAGCTCTAGGTTAAAGTGTGCAGATATTGCTATTAGCATTTAAAATAAGCGTTCTGCTAGGGTAGCAGCGTAGGTATCTTATATAGTAATATTTCTCTGTTAATTGCTATAGACTACTAGTTACGCTTTACATTTTTATAATCTATAGTGCTTGTTAAGCTTGTAGGTGTACACCTACATATGTAACGATCCTCATGAATCGTTCCATCTCGGATGGCCCGGAAGGCCCCTGTATCGGCCCCGACCTCGACCTGGCCCCGACCCCTGCTGTTACCCCTATTCCCTCATGTATTTAGTCGCACCTCGCCTCTGTAGCTAGCTTGGTAGTTTTCTGATATCCTTTTGTACAAGGCCTATAGGTGTTAATGGCATTCCTAGGTTCAGAGTCCCCACGCACTCCTATATGCCTCTGAGTGGACTCCCACCGCATTTAGACCCATTGTCTTGCCTGCGCTGTTACAACATACAATCTAAGATCTGCTGTCTAGCTGCTTTAATTAGCTTTGTTTAGACCTCTGTCTAAGATTTTATTATCTAATAACTGTCTAAGTGTGTTCTTTCTGCTGCCTTAAACATCTTATGTAGAGGGTGCTTCTCTAGTTGCTTTTAAGTTAATAGTAGAGGTAGTAGCTAGCTTCTATAAAGTGTCTTTCTTTTAAATAGCATTTTTATTAATACTACTTTATTTAGCATCTTACTGCTATGCTTTTTTACACTTTTAAATTTTATGCTAGCTATAAAGGCTGTAGCCTATAGTATAGTTTTTAATAACTTTATTTAGCTTAGCTTTAGTGCTGCTCTAGCTATTAACTGCATAAGCAATGCTATAGGTAGCAGAGTATTTAAAGAAGACAGATAGTTATCTCTAATTTTTCTTTTTTAATAGTAGCCTAGTAGGTCTACTTTATTAAAATTTAATATATTATTTATAGTATTGTCTTTATAAAATAACTTTGTCTTTAGCTAATAACTAGGTGTTAAAAACTTAATTATTTTAATATATATAGTAATTTTCTTTACTATGTTATACATAAAGTTATTTATTAGGTCTTTAGGCTTACTACTAAAGATTAAGTGTTTATTAAAAATAATATTACATGTATAGATTACTTTTACTAGCAGTAGTATCTATACGCAGTAGATGTTTAATAATTAGTACCTAACTAGATATCTAATCTACACCTTTAGGTCTAGCCTCTATAGCTTAGATTTATTCTAATATGTGTTATTAGTTATTATAAATGCTTTATAGCTATAAGCTTTTAAATGTGTAAAGCTTAGCTTTTAAATTAATGTAACAACTTTATTATTTAAAGCTACTTATGTAAAGAAGATCTTGTATAGCGTCTTTTAGTTATTAGCATAGTTTAGCGTCTAATTATATAGATATACGCTAGCTCTAGTAATGTATAGCTATATGTTCTATAGTAGGTTAGCATCTAGTTGCATAGCCTATAACTTCTCTTTATTTACACTCTCTAAGCATTTAGCTTCTCTGTTCTAGGCTTGTGTATCTAGTGCTAAAGGCTTAATAGTTATTTTATATAATGCTAGCTAGCATTCTACC